GTTTGTTTTTTTTTTTTTTTTTTTTTTGCTATAGGGTGCATGCGCTCCCCAAATAGACAGAGAGAGACAGAGAGACAGAAAGCGAGAAATCACCCCCTAGGGGGATGACCACGCCGCAATCCCTTCTCCTCCATTCTCCTCTTGGGATCTTGGGCACGCACAAACACCGCCCGGGGAGTTTAAGCCACTAGGTCCAGGACTCGAACCACTATTGACTACATGGGAATCCAGCGACATAGTCATTATGCTAACTGCTGGTCCCTTTAGAGAAATTTTTGCTGTAGTGCTTGTGTGCTTGCTGGAGATAGACACAAACAGAGATAGAAAGCGAGAAGTCACCCCCTGGGAGGGGGGATGACCATGCTGCAATCCCTTCTCTATTTTCCCTCCAAGATTTTGGGCATGCACGCACACACGCCTGGCGTGAGTTTGAAGTTGCCTGTTCTAAGACTTGAACCACAGTTAAGCATGTGAGAATCCAGTGACATAATGATTACACCATGTGCTGGTCCTTACCCTCACTTTTTATTACAGAAAAAATTTTTTTAGGAATTGTTTAATTTCACTTTATTTATTTTAATTTGACCAGAGAGGTATGGAGTAAGAGAGAGAGAGAGACAAAGCAAGCCACCAGGTCCAGTTGGCCATATGGTAGTCTAGTACTCTTAACCACCACACCACTATAACAAAAAATTTTAAACATGTGTAAGTAGATATAAGTAGAGAAAACAGAATAATGATCTCATGTACCTATGACCCAGCTTCAGTAATCAACACAGGGCCACTCTTGTTTCATTTACAACATCCTTCCATAGTTATTTAAAGTAAATCCTAAACATCATATTACCTCATCACCAAATAACTCCTATTTTAAATATAACCATGATTTCATTATGCCTACAAAAAAAATTTTTTTTTAATAGATATTTTTGCCATAGGGCACATGAGCTCACCAGAGAGACAGACAGAAAGCAAGAAATCACCTCCTGGGTGGATGTCCATGCCACAGTCCCTTCTCCTCTGTTCTCTGGATTTTGGTCACACATGCACACGTATCCAGCCTGAGATTTAAGCCACTGGATCCAGGACTTGAACCTGAATCTACTACATGGTAGTCCAGCAACATAACCATTATACCATCTGCTGGTCCCTATGCCTACAAAATTTTTATAAACTTGCCTAATGTCATTAAAACAGCCAATCAGGGTTCATATTTCCCTGACTGACTCATAGGTGTCTTTGTACAGTTGATTTGTTTGAGTCAATATCTAAATTTCATAGACCATACTAACCGCTGTACTATTGGGCCAGCTCTCCATGTCAACTTTTTATTTTATTTATTTATTATTTTTTTTTTTTGAGAGGTTTTTGCTATAGGATGTATGTGCTCCCCAGAAAGACAGAGAGAGACAGAGAGACAGAAAGTGAGAAATCAGCCCCCTAGGGGTAATGGCCATGCTGCAATCTCTTCTCCATTCTCCTCTCGGGTTCTTGGGCACACATGCACATGTGCCCAGCATGAGTTTAAGCCAGTAGGTCCGGGATGTGAACTGTGGTCGGCTACATGGGACTTCAGCAACATAGCCATTATGCTAACTGGTAGTCCCTGTGTCAACTTTTTTTAACGGAATGAATTTTATGCTTGTTATATCAAGAAGATGCTATATTACCAAATGTATTTGTCAGTTCTATTATCTTTAGTTGTAGCTAAAATTGCTATCTTTGCTTTGAATATTTTCTTTTTTTCTGCTTTCCCTATGAGAATGGTAATGGAATTTTTTTTTTTTTTTGAGAGGTTTTTGCTATAGGGGACGTATGCTTGCCAGAATGACAGAGAGAGACAGTGAGAAATCACCCCCCAGAGGGGATCGCCACGCTGAAATCCCTTTTCCTCCATTCTCCTCTTGGGATCTTGAAAATTGCACGCACACATGCCCGGCGTGAGTTTAAACCATTGGATCCAGGACTCGAACCGCAGTTGGCTATATAGGAGTCCAGCGATGGAGCCATTATGCCATCTGCTGGTCCCAGTAATGGAATTTTTTTATTAATAGTTCTCTTAATCTTTTTTAGTCTGTTATATTTACACCTTTTATTTTCCTTTGTAATTCATCTAGTTATTTTTTTTCTGTATAATTTCTTGCATGCTGAATTTTGTTGTTTATATGCCTATGGTTGTGTTTGCCATGTTCATCTATCCCTTTTTATTTCCTGGTAGTTAGACCTAGATGTTTTAACAGATATAGGCTTGATTTTTTAATTTTTATTTTTGCAAAAATATTTAATAGATGATGTTATATACATCAGAGGGTACATTATACATTATATTTGCTCATCTCTTTTCTTATCCTATTAAGATTAATAGTTGCCAAAGGTGTTGTCAATCTTATCTATTCATTTAAAATAAAATTCTCCATCAGCTTTACATCCAAAGTAACACAGCCTTTGATCACTATCTAGAATTCTTCTGTAATGGATTTCATCTTAACTATTTGCTTGCTTACCTTGAAAGCTGTTTCTACTAGAACTGCAAGATAAATTATTTTTCTTCTTTTCAGTTTTCAGAATGAGTCAGTTCTTTTAGAACCAATATTCTCTTTTTAAAATTTTTTTCCCTGTTATATTTTTTTAATTTAAAAAAAGTTTATTATTTTTGGGGCCGGCAGGTGGTGTGGTAGTTAAGGGTGGTGGACTCTCACATGGCCAGGCACAGTTCAAGTCCTGGACCTGGTAGCTTTCTTTCTTTCCCTCTCCTTCTTTTTCTCACTCTGACCCTCTCTGGTTGAATTTAAAATAAATAAATAAATAAAGTTAGATAAAATAATTATTTAATAAAATTCATTATTTAAAGAAGAGATTTGCAATGGGACATGTGCGCTCACCAGAGAAAAATGAGAAAGCCAGTCACCAGATCAGGGACTCAAACCATGGTCAGCTATGTGGGAGTCCAATGCCTTAAACAACACACCATCTGTTCTCCCCAGTAAAGTCTTATTTTAATGGCTTTCCATTGAATGAAAAAATTGGTTTGGACAGCCAGCAGGTGTTGTGGTGGTTAGGGTGCTGAACTCCCACGTGGTGAACCATGGTTTGAGTCCAGGGCTTGGTGGCTTATTATTCATCACTCTCC